CAGTTGGAAGCAAAACAGTAGGACGTTAAACCCCATTTGATTTCAATTCTTTGTTTTTGCGTTCTCTTTACCGACTTGTTAAATTGTATTAGAATAAAAAAAAATACCTCAAATTTTTTAACTTTGTGAAAAAAAGGCAACTATATTTACAAAATTAACAATAAATTTATTCACGTTGTATACAACTATTTTAACAAGAGATTTAACAATTATTACAAACTGCATAAAATATTCATTTAACATACATTATGCAAGAGCTAAATCTGCCTATTGCAGGTCTTTCTTTAGGCATGAAATGTTATCTAAACTGTTAATTAGACATTAACAAAACATGAAGATAATCAACTCTCGATGGCATCGATACTCGAGATTTTAACTAGATTAAAACGGTTCGCCATTTAAAAATTTGATTTCAAAATGGGAAAGGCTAAGTCTCGAATATACCAGTGCCGGCTGGTTACCACAATGCACACATCTTGTCAAAACTACAAACAGTGATAATTAGGGTCAGAATGAAGTAATTTAAATGAAATTTTTAATATTTTCATTTTACATTATCAATTTTTAAGCTATTATAGCACGAATGGTCAGATCTTTATCTAAAAATTACAGAATGTATTTTTAAGTTAAGAATTTACTCAAAATTGTTCGCCTTATTTTAACTAAAATATAGCCCGCTATAAAACCTTTGTGGTTTAAGTGTATCAAATACATCAATAAGAAATTATGTGCAAAGTTTTGTGTTTCTGGATCAAAGATATTTCTCATAAACAGTGATTGAAAAGTGACTTAATTCGTAACTGAAGTCTGAGAATGCTGACACCATTCCTAATTTGAAGTGTTCACATAGTTCAGGACCGGATTAACGCGTGTGGGTCTGGGGTTAGGTTCCGATTTTATTTATCAATTTTATTGACTGAAAGGATGTAACTGTTACTACATTATTCAATTATAGATCAAAATAATAAAACTAAATTTTTAATTTTACATTTTTCCCTTTAGAGACAATCCGATTAAATACAGATCTATATTTCGTTTTGTTTTTTATACTTTCGATGACCTACACTACATGAAGATCTGACCGGGTGTAGTAAAAGGTCGCGTCAGAGGTCGTACGAACGGCTTTTGACCCTATGACGTCAGAAATTGATTAAAATCAACAAGCGTTGCCGTTTCTAGTGGTTTACCCACAGTTCCGTGCATCGTTCGTCAAGAAGTCGCCGTAACAGATGGTTTCATTGGCTAATCTATCACTCCATCCAGAACGCAGGTTATATAACAACCCTTCCAGATCCTAGTGTAGTACAAACAAATAAAACGAAATTTTGAACTATAAAAAACGAAAACCAATAAAACCATAGTTTTAAATATTATATTTTTTAATATAAGAAGTCAGGGGAACCTGTCAGGCCTGACATAGCCTAGTTACCAAACTTGGGCATGTAAAAAGATCGCTTCAATGAAGACGCCAAAGACGTATAGATGATTCGGCCTACGTCAGACTTGCTCCTACGTCCCACGCCTTACCAACTTGTGTAGAATTCTAAATAGCTTTGTGAAATGTCTCTAACAGCATGGCGTTTAAATTGGCCAGGTGGGTGTAGGTAGGACGTTCAACCCCATTTTATTTTGTAATGTGAAACAGTCCTGCTACTTTGGCACTGTCTCTGCATTTAAAATGGTACACGAGGCAGAGTATGCTTACTATTTGTGGACCACCTGATAGCACTTGGATCTGGTTCGTTCGTCGAGTTGACACGTGTCTATGATAAAAAGTCTGCATATTATTACGCAACCTTTCTTTCAGTTTGGGGTGGGGGGGGGGGGGTGTTCAATTATCAAGAACACAACACTGATAAATGTTGAGAATAATAAGATAGTAATGAAATGAAATGGGGTTTAACGGCCTAGGCCTACTGTTCTGCTCCTAAACTGGGCTAATGAAGACGGGCATACGCCATACAGTGTGCTATGAGGGAAATTTTGCCCGGGCAGCGGCGCTACGGCTTACTCTTATATCGAATTCGAACTGCCAAGGGATTTTTTACGTGCACGCCAATGTGTACACGGGACCTCAATTTTTCGTCCCATCCGAACGACTAGAGAGCTGTCCTTAAGATAGTAATCGTAAATAGATTTATAGTTGTCTGGAAATATAAGAACATTTATTATTGTGTGACCTTACTAGATGCTTCTATCACATTATATGTTAGGTCGTATTTGTTGGCGGAGCTGCGGGGATCTGGGTTCAATGATTCAATCCAGGTTAGATCTAAATGATAAGGCCAACTTCAAGTTTGGTCAAAGGTCACGAGATGTAAACAGGGTAGCGCTAATCCCAACCCTAAACCTGGACCTAGCCCTAATGCTTACCCTAAACCTAACCTACAATCTCGGCAACAATCACGTGTCCAAACCTTATTTACATCTCAGCGACCTTGACGAAAATTCAGCTGACCTTAACAAATAGATTTAGCCGTTCAATCCCAGTGATGGTCGATAAAGCTTCTCGGAGACATTAAACTCCATTTCATTTTATTTTTTTTTCATATTATATGGATGATAATGAAAGAAGCTCTGTAGCCTATAAAAGAACATCAAGTATTTAGACAATACTTGTCTATCACCTCGTTGGAAGCGGACGTAAAATACAACTAACTCACATATTAGACAAACCAAACCCATGAAAAAAGTATAATAATGGTGTAATAATGGCATAATGATGCTATAGTCTCATAATGGCTTCGTGGAAGATCAAATGCTCACAAATTATTTAATCTGTCTTCGTTCGTGTTTTAAAACACAACACAATTTTGCTCTGTATAATTTCTAATCTGGAGCAAGTACCTTTCCAATTAGGCCCACCGGGCAATGGCGATCAGAAATTAGACCTGACGTCAATCTCGCGAACTCATATCAACCGTACGATCCCCATTTCAACCAACAACATAACGATTAATTGTCAATGCCTCATTTAGCCTACAAAGCACATTCTGGGATCCTCCAACAATATATTCTTTCAATCTTAAATTCCTCATTCAGTTTACAAAGCACATCCTAGAACGTTCCAACAGTACAGTCTTTACCGCTGTTCAAACTGAACTTTCTCATTCAACATTCTGTAACGTTCCAACAATACATTATTTCCTGCCGTTCAAACACAAATTCTTCATTCAGTTTACAAAGCACATCCTAGATCGTCCATAAATACATTTGTTACCGCTGTTCAAACCGACTTTCTCATTCTAATTAAAAGGCACGCGTTCTGTAACGTTCCAACAGTACATTATTCCCTGCCGTTCAAACACAAATTTCTCATTCAGTTTACAAAACACATTCTGGAACGTTCCAACAGCACATTCTTTCCCGCCGCCTTTTAAAACACAAATTCCTCATTTAGTTTACAAAACACATTCTGGAACGTTCCAACAGTACATTCCCGCCGCCGTTTAAAACACAAATTCTTCATTAAGTTTAGAAGACACGTTCTGGAACTTTCCAACAATACAAGCTTTCCCGCCGTTCAGACGTCAACTTCCGCTTTCAAGTCGCTGACATCATCACCGATAGGTGTCACCAGTAATTGACCTCCAGTACAACTACCTATTTCCGGGAAAACCGCCACCGGGGAAGTTCTAGAAAAGAAACGAAGTTACCAATACAATGTTATGAAAGCATGAGAAAGAAAACAAAATGTACGCAATGGTTGTCTTATATGATTTTGGACTACAAAATAAAGCACTTAAACCATGAAATAGTGCCTTTTTCGGCGATAGGGAATCCCCAGTTGTACGTGACAAGGAGTAGGGTCGCCTGTCCAACCTCGTGGGTTTTCTCCGGGTCCTCCGGTTTCCTCCCACTGCTAAAGACCCCTACGTGCAAGCGAATTATTGAAATAAAATTAAACCATATGTTAGTCCCGAAATGACCTAGTTTGTGTCGAGTGGACGTTAAACCCCATTCCTCTCTCTCTCGGCGATAGGGTCCTAAAGGAGGTAGAGTGAGGGAGAGAGAGAGAGAGAGAGAGAGAGGTAACTCCACTCGACACAAACTAGGTCATTTCAGGACTAACATATGGTTAGAGAGTTTAACGTCCACTCGACACAAACTAGGTAATTTCGGGACTAACATATGGTTCAATTTTATTTCAACAAATCGCTTGCGCATAGGGAGTCTTTAGCAGTGGGAGGAAACCGGAGGACCCGGAGAAAACCCACGAGGCTGTTAGTCACGTACAACTGGGGAATCGAAAACACGCCAGTTGAATCAATGACAGACCTAATGATACAACGCGCACGCGCTAACCATCCGGCCACCCAAACCCCTAAAATTTGAAAAAAGACTTCGAAGTGTACTAGCCACAAATTATTGTACACATAGTGGACACAGTAAAAACACGGTGCCATACTCCACCCCACCTCTTTTCCCACAGACACCATTGTCTTCCTTAAACAGTGACTATTTCGTCGAGAATATTTTCAAATTGTCCGCCCCCACCCCCGAAAACATCTGGCATCGCCACACCAAAAAGGAGTAAGTACCCGGTTTCCAGCCCCTCCCTCACACCTCGAGAATGCCAAGTTTATTTATCTCCAATGAACTTTGACCTGAATGATTCACGAGCAGATCACAACCCCAGGCCCCGCATGAATGTAAAAACTTCCGGAACGTAAGGATCCCTATTATCATTTAAGCCGAAAGAGAACACACACTTTGTCCCCGAATTTATTTGTTAGCTATGGCGACAATAACACAACCATACCTGTCCACATACCCGCCTTCCAGTACTCCCACTGCGTTCCCGTAATCATCTTCTGAGATGGTATGAACAGCACCAAGGTCTCTTGAACAACGGATATTTCTGTGCCTCTGTTGAAGAACAAACAGTTTAATGGCGGCTTGGTGTAGTCTCTGGGACACCTTTTTATCTTCTGACCTAGAACAATAAGAAAAGATTCATGTAATCATATCCTTTAAATTGACCATTTCTGACAATGCCGTTAATTTCTGAAATTATATAGGGGTCCCAGAAGATATATTTTTGGATTCACTTTTCTTTTGAAACGCCAACACACGTCTTTCCCGACTGGGTCAAATTGCGATGGGTTAGCCAACGTTAATGGCGAGGATCTACAAGAATTGTTATGAACAGGGTCCAAGGGAATCGTAATGGTCAAGATCTATAAGAATCGTTATGGCCAGAGGGAATCGTTATGGCGAGGATCTACAAGAATCGTGATGGCCAGAGTCCAAGGGAATCGTTATGACCAGGGTCTACAATAATCGAAATGGTCAGGATCCATGGGAATCGTAACGGCCAGTATCAAAGAAAATAATGTTATGGCGAGGATAACGAGAATTGTCAGTTCGAGAATTCATGGGAATCGCCGGGTCGAGGATCACGAGAGTCGCCTGGACAGGATAACGAGAATAGCCAGGGTGAGGATCACGAAAATCGATCGTCTTAGCGAAGATAATGAGAATCGTCTGTGCGAGGATCACGAGAATCGTCCGAGTGAAGATCACCAGAATTATCTGGGCGATGATCACCAGAATCGTCTGGGCGAGGATCACGAGAATCGTCCGAGTGAAGATCACCAGAATCGTCTGGGCGAGGATCACGAGGATCTCTGCGAGGATCTTGGTGAATAATATCAAAATCAAATTAATAAGAGTAGACAACTTGCCTGTTGGATAAACCTATTGTTCGTCTATTTTCCTCCAGAATTCCAGAAAACTCGGTATGGTTTTGTTCTACTGACGACTGTTTAGTCTGGTAAGCCGAGTCTTGACTTCTAAGATGTTGCTTTATGTCCGAGTCTACCTGAGTCAACGGGTGATGGGACAATGGACTTAAACTTTTATTGAATGAAGAAAGAGCACTGTCACTATCAGTAGTAGACAACACGGATGTTGTCGGGGCTATCAGTCTCTTATTGTTTATCACTGACGCTGGATCCGAGTGTGATTCCCTTCGGATAACTTCGGGAGAATGTACTTTGACTGGATCTGAAACGGAAGAACGAAGTATCGGATGAATATTGTCTAAGTTCAATGGATGATTATAAACTTCGATATATTTATTCCTTTCCTCTGTTTCATCATCCACATAAAAATCCGTTAAATCTTGACTCAAGAATTTTCGTAAAATCTCTAATCTTGCCATATCCATGTTGTCTTCGCGTTCGCGATCCTCATACGACCTCCGCTTTTGGACATCATGGCGAGCTCGTCTGTGGGAAGCAAGTTTATATTTTTTATACCTGTCACTATCAGTACTTGAACCACGTCGCATGCAGCGCTCTTCCCGACAGGAATCGTGGTGGGAACACGGTGATTGTCGGCGATGTCGCCGTCGACGATCCGGGTCCTGGCGATGATTACAATAGTCACAGTTCGTATGATATCCTGGTAAACGATCGTCAAAGCTACGGGACTGATAGTCATCGTGCCTGTGCCGTTGATGGCGATGGTGATGGTGGTGATGATGATAGTTATGTTCCGACACGGATCGCGTACATGCGGAGCATTGATAATTGTCCTCCATTATCTTTATCTTCCGGGGTTCCAAATTGGGAAACCCCGAGGTTGGCACGTCCAAACTTTTGGATATTCTATGATAACCCTCGAGAAAATCTTTTCTGTACCGTTCTTCTCGTTCAACACATTCTAGTCTATCGACCGATCTTGTTTCGTGTAGCTTTGTACGGTTTACGGACAGAAAATTCGGTGAGAGGCAAAGTCGATCGGACTCATCCTTGCCCAGTTGTTTTAGGGCAGCTTCATCTCCGTCAGCTTTTTTCTGATTCTGCGCGACGATGACGTTGGGATAGATATGATCCGTGGACGAAGACGCGTAGCCATTGTTTATAGACCCGTCTAGAGCATAATCATCAAATTGTGTTTCCTGGCGAACTAAATATGGTCCCGTACTATGAGACCGTTTCATCCTGGCGCCCCTATTTACTGATGCTGCAGTCGGGTCGAGGGATGTCGATTTTCTCGGTAGACTACTGGTCGACTTCACCTGTAGATGATCCAACAGCAAACGTCCGCCAACAATCTCGCCATTTTTATCGTCTGCCGGTTCTGATAAAAATGTTGCTGTATTCTGTATGAAGTCAGTCGTTACTGGCGTTGTTATGGGAGTTGTTCCTGCACCATTATAGGACGCAAAGAAACGTTTAGCAATTTTTCTTCCTTCGTTTGCTGGCTGAAATCAAGAAAACATTTATCATAAACAAAACCCTGATAATGATCTCTGTTCTTGATGGACTAGTTTACGTTTGTGTCCCGTCTTCATAAGCCCAGTTGACCGGAACGGTAGGACGTTAAACCCCATTTCATTTCATCATTTCAGTACGGTAGGATCTACTACCGTTTAATAATGACTGCGCAGTTACCACGTTTTATAGTCTCTAAATGACGTCAGACTTGTTCTACGTCACAGCGCTATTCTGAGTGGCGTAGGACAGGGAAGGACTGAGAAGACAAATGGCGTAGGACATGGATGGTCTGAGAAGACGAGTAGCGTAAGATAGGGATGGACCGAGAAAAACGTGGCGTAGGACAGGGATAGGTTGAGTAAACAAGTGGCGTAAGGCAGGGATTGTCTGAGAAGACGATCAAGTAGCGTAAGATAGGGATGGATTGAGAAAACAAGTGGCGTAGGACAGGAATGGACTGGGAAGGAGCCTGCTAGTTTTTAAGCTCGAGGGTCCATAACGTAGTTTAAGGGCCATTTAAAGTCTTGAATTAATGTCGTTTTTGATGAATTGGTGGGCTTGTCCTGTGATATTATATAGTTGGTACTCTAGAAAGCACCATTTACATGCTTCTTAAGTGGGGCCCCTCACAGGACCAGGCCATTTCAATTTATATGGGTTTTTATGATTATTTTACTATTGCAAAGAGTCGAGTCAGGGTAGACTTGAATATTTAACTACGTACCTCAGAAACTGGGGTATACGGTGTTATTAATATGGGTGGTATGTTGGTAAACTTTTGTAAGGATTTTTCCACTGAGTATATATCACTGGAGAACGTTGTTTCATTCATATCAGTTTTATCTTTCTCTGAAAAATATAACACCAAATATGGAAATAGTCAAAGGAAGCGACGTCATTTATGTCTGTTTGCTTCCTGATCCTCCCGCCTTAAAATCACGAATATTCACCAATACCTGGCAGAAAAAGGAAATTCAATTCGATGCTAGACCAAAACGTCAAGCAAAAATGTCATGCAAAAAGGGAGAGAGAGAGAGAAATGGGGTTTAACGTCCACTCGACACAAACTAGGTCATTTCGGGACTAACATATGGTTCAATTTTATTTCCATAATTCGCTTGTGCGTAGGGATCTTTAGCTGTGGGAGTAAACCGGAGGACCCGGAGAAAACCCACGTGGTTGGACAGGCGACCCTACTCCTTGTCACGTACAACCGGGGATTCGAAACCACGCCAGTCGACTCAATGACAGACTTTATGATACAGCGCGCGCACGCTAACCATTCAGCCATCCAACCCCCAGCACTACCTAAGACCAAGGGAAGCAGTTAATAATCTTAGACTGTTAGTCCTACTATGTGGAGCCTATTTCCGGCTCGGAATGTTTCAATTTATTTTTGGGTTTTAGTGATTGATGTTAAATGATTTGACAGGCTTCTACATAAATACATTTTATGGCGTGTACCATCTGTGAAGATCCTGACCTCGTCATAACTAACACCCCCGTAACAGACGACACAAATTAGGCCTATGACACTGGTTAACATCATCCCATCAATCTAGTCGTCATGGTTATAATGCGGTCATAATTAGTTAAAGGTCGTAAGACGGAAATTTCTTAGAATAGCTTATTACCATTTTAAGAGATAAAAGTGGAATGGTGTTTAACGTTCTGCTTTTTTCGTACCAACTAAGCCACATAGTGTGCTATAAGGGGACATTTTGCCCGGACAGCGGCACTACGGACTACTTTATTTTTCGAATTCTAATTCTCTAGTGTTCTTTTACGTGCACGCCAAAGTGTACAGGGGACTTCGTTTTTTTTGTCCTACCCGATAGAATATACACTGTTGCTTGCCACACCCACAAGGGGCAACCACGATGGAAAATCCCTATGTACTATTTCGGGCAACACCGGGATCGAAACCCTGACGTCCTAGTTAATGAGCCAAGATGATGTATTACGAATCCGGTGTTTGGGTCAAAAGACACCCACATTCATTACTTAGTGTCCAAGCGTCCAAGCGCAGTCACCCCATTTTATGGGACAACATTAGATCGGAGACGGTCCTGCACATATGACGTCATATGCGGATTGTGCGTTAGGGTAAGGGTCACACTGATCCGCAGTGAATATTCGCTAGGCGCTACAATGACTGATAAGGATGACATCAATGCGACTTAATGAGTCTTAAATATTAACTTTTTTCCACCGACAAATTAAATTCTAAAACATTTCTATGATGTATTAGAAAAATAAATAAAGACGTTTGACGTATTTGTAGGTAAAAAATATTTCCTATTTAGTGTAAAATGGGTATTAAAATGACTAAAAGGCAGCATTCTGCCCGAAGCTGTAACGTCTTATGTAAACAATGCACGCGCCATTCAGCCAATGCTTGACGCCGCGTGCTGTGACGGCACGTGTTAAAGGCAGTCATCTTTTACAGAGATATTAGAGAAGATTCGTAATTCTCTGTGAAACAGATAGGGTAAGGGTAAGGCTTGAACCAGCGGTAGAGTTATCGCTAGCCCTGTTTACAATCTCGAAACTTTGACGAAATCTGCAGGTCCTAATCCTTACCCTAACCCACATATGACGTCATATGTGCTCAAATGTGCAGGACCGTCGCCGATCTAGCGTTCTCCCATTTAATAGCCTCGTTTTCGTTTACTCACTGTTATCTTTGTTCGGCGTCTTCTTTTTATTGGGTTCACAACATTTGAAATATTTGCCGCATTTTCTTCGGATGAGGTAAAAAATTCCAAAAAAACAGAGCACGGAGAGAATGACTATGAGACCAATCCAGATTGGTTCGCTCATCAAAATATCACTGATTGAGGATTGAGGTGTTAATACGACGATAGCCTGGGAACAGTTGGAACCTGTAAATAAACAAATCAGATAATCAAGTAGGCAAACTTGTTTTAAAAATAGCGTTGCCTTACAATGGATACAGAGAGAGAGAGAGAGAGAAAGAGAGAGAGAGAGAGAGAGAGAGAGAGATGGGGGTTTAACGTCCACTCGACACAAACTAGGTCATTTCGGGACTAAGAGAAAGAGCACAAGCTAGGTCATTTCGGGACTAACATATAATTCAGATTTATTTTATTAATTCGATTGCGCGTAGGCGTCTTTAGCATAGGGAGGAAAGAGAGACAGACAGACAGAGAGAAATGGGGTTTAACGTCCACTCGACACAAACTAGGTCATTTCGGGACTAACATATGGTTTTAATTTTATTTCATTAATTCGCTTGCGCGTTGCGCGTTGGGGTCTTAAGCAGTGAGAGGGGACCGGAAACACGGAGAAAACCCACGAGGTTGGACAGGCGACCCTATTCATTGTCACGTACAACCGGGTATTCGAAATCACGCACGTGCTAAACATTCACACACCCCCCCTCCAGTTCGAGGAAACCGGAGGACCCAGAGAAAACCCACGAGGTTAGACAGGCGACCCTACTCCTTGTAACTACAACCGGAGAATTGAAATCATGCAACGTGCTAACCATTCGGCCATCCAACCCGAAGAATTGTTTTCAATTAAATCTTTTTCAGGCGTATGCTTTCAAGATTCACAAAACAATGTTTAAAATACAGAAAACAAACAAATAGAAAGCTCGTTTAAACGACACAGAAGAGCTGTTTGAAATAAAAGATAGGACTAAAAAAAAACAAACAATAGCAAATTGATAAGTTCACCTTTAAATAGAACCTGGCATCGACATGTTGGTGTATTGGCGCTGCCTGTGCACTGTCCATTCCCATTACACACAGATATCGAACATTCTTGTGACGTCATGTGACAATGTCTTCCCCAGTGTCCGTATTGACAGTCACATTGATAATTGGTCGAATCGTGACGACACGTTCCACGATCACAAGGACCGAGTTCACACCACGTGACCTGACATAGTAAACCTGAAGTAAATATAGTCAAATGTAAATGTCAAGTCAGCTTAAAGATGCATCATAATATATGATTTAGATAAAGAGCTAATCGTTATTGCTATAATAGTTCAAAAATGATAATCAAAAATGTATATACTGAAAATTTCATTTAAATTACTTTCATATAAATAAAGTTGTGTGTGTTTTAAGCTGTAGTTTAGATCGTTTATTATCGTAAAAATAGTACTAGACAATCGAGACTAAATCTCATCGTTAAATTTTTTAAATCTGGCGGTAATTCTAATCTATTCAGGGGATCACGTGGCTAAGTGGGTAAGACGCTAGCTCGCTAGCCTGGAGGTCGGGTGTTCGATCCCTGCATTGGCCGAGAAAGTTCATCCAGATTTTCCGGCGTGGTTCTCCCTTGTCAGTGATGCAGGACGGAGGGGCTGACAAGGAAAGCTGTCTAGCCGTTCGGATGGGACGAAAAACCGAGGTCCCGTGTACACATTGGCGTGCACGTAAAAGATCCCTTGACAGTTGGAATTCGATATAAGAGTAGGCCGTAGTGCCGCTGTCCGGGCAAAATTTCCCTCATAGCACACTGTATGGCGTATGCCCGTCTTCATTAGCCCAGGTTAGGAGCAGAACAGTAGGACGTTAAACCCCATTTCATTTCTAATCTATTCAATATCACAACCATACGATGGTCTAAAGAGAGTCGATTATAACATGGGGTTTAACGTCCACTCGACACAATCTAGGTCATTTCGGACCTAACATATGGTTCAATTTTTATTACAGCGAGAGGAAATCGGAGGACCCGGAGAAAACCCACGAGGTTGGGCAGGTGACCCTACTCCTTGTCATGTACAGCCGGGGAATCGAAACCACGCCAGTTGACTCAATGACAGACCTTATTATTCATAAGACCATCCAACCTCCTGCAATAGGCAGATTTAGCTCTTATATAAATGAAATGAAATGGCGTTTAACGTCATACTGTTTTGCTCCGAAATGGGCTAATGAAGATGGGCAAACGCCATACAGCGTAACATGGGGGGAATTTTGCCCGGGCAGCAGTATTAGGGCCTAGTCTTATATCGAATTCTAACTGTCAAGGAATCTTTTACGTGGCACGCCAACGTGTACTCGGGACCTCGGTTTTTCGTCCCATCCCAACGACTAGACAGCTGACAATGCAGGGATCGAACATCCGACCTCCAAGCTTGCGAGCCAGCGTTTTACCCACTTAGCCACCGTGACCCCCACCTCTTATATAATGCTTCTTTAAAGGGACGATAACACCCTTGCTGGCTTGACAGCTCCAGAAAATAAAAAATAGCCTTATTCTAAGTACTAGATGTGTTAGTGTCCTACCTGTTGTGTAAACTATCCATTAAATCCTATTTTACTTGTCCAGAGGGTTCAAAAATATTTTTAAATCCAAGTCACATTTGAAAAGCTTTACGTCAGGCTTTTCAAATCATTTAGTTGAATTTTTCCAATTTTTTAAATTAGGTGTGTTAAGATGAAATTTGTATCATCAATTAATTGGAATATTGTAAAATAGTACAATTTGTTGACCAGAATAATGATTGGGACATATTATTCAGTTACAACAAGAGTGGTATTGAGCCTTTAACAAACTAATGATGGTAGTCCTAATCTAATGTTTCAATCTTCTACATCTTGTTTCATCAGATTGGTATTTTGTAACACTGAATGCATGTCTGACATTTTTCGATCAAACAGAACAGAAATGAAATGAAATGGGGTTTAACGTCCTACTGTTCTGCTCCTAAACTGGGCTAATGAAGACGGACATACGCCATACAGTGTGCTATGAGGGAAATTTTGCCCGGGCAGCGGCGCTACTGCCTACTCTTATATCGAATTCCAACTGCCAAGGGATCTTTTACATGCACGCCAATGTGTACATGGGACCTCGGTTTTTCGTCCCATCCGAACGACTAGACAGCTGTCCTTGTAGAGCAGTGGGAGGAAACCAGGGAACCTTGAGAAAACCCACAAGGTTTAATTAGCAAGCGACCCTACTCCTTGTGACGTATCTGCTTGCGATCGAAACCAGGTCACTTGACAGATCTTATGATCTAAAGCGCATGCGTAAGACACCCCACACCCCTCCCTACCAAATTATTTTAGTATCAGAGCATCACGTGGACGGGGACCTACCTGTATAGAACTGTGAACAATGACATGTATATGACGATGACGTCATAGTTTTACACGTGCTATTATTCAAACACGTGTCTTCAACACACGACTCTAGAACACCATTAGATATCCCTCTCGTCGCTTCAAGAAAATGTACGTCTGAAAACAAAAAGATATTGAAAATAAATTGACTAGTGAATGACGAATTATGATCAATGACTGACGAAGTCTTGACCTGTTCCTGTCGAAATCCAAGTATTCATAATTAAGTTCCAAGTATTTATAACCAAGTTAAGTTCCAAGTATTTATAACCAAGTTCAGTTCCACGTATGTATAACTAAGTTAAGTTCCAAGTATTTATAACCAAGTTAAGTTCCAAGTATTTATAACCAAGTTAAGTTACAAGCATGTATAACCAAGTTAAGTTCCAAGTATTTATAACTAGGTTAATTTCCAAGTATTATAACTAAGTTAAGTTCCAAGTTATATAGATCCACAAATAGTGGCGGTATATAAATTTCAGATCCACAAATAGTGGCGGTGTATTTAAATTCTAGATCCACAAATAGTGGCGGTGTATTTAAATTCTAGATCCACAAATAGTGGCGGGGTAATTAAATTCTTGATCCACAAATAGTGGCGGTGTATTTGAATTCTAGATCCACAAATAGTGGCGGGGTAATTAAATTCTAGATCCACAAATAGTGGCGGTGTATTTAAATTCTAGATCCACAAATAGTGGCGGGGTAATTAAAGTTTCGATCCACTGATAGTAGCGGGGTATTCCAATTTTAAATCCACTAATAGTGTTGAGGTATTTAAATTTTCTATCCATTGATGGAGCGGGGGGGGGGGGGGGCATTTATGTTTTGGATCCATTGATAGAGGCAGACGCGGGGACACTAGATGCAGCAATGACAAAATGATCGCAAATGATTTTTCGCACAAGACGATAACTTAAAACTGAATATTTACCTAATATGGTCGATATGTTTACAGTAAATGCTTGATACAGACTGTTATATCTGTTCTGTGAATATCGGATATCCAATTCAACTTGGTGAAACTCTGATACAATACTAAGAGTACGATTCTGCGCACTGGTTTCATTGTTTTTAATGGCCTCACAGAGATTGACGAGTTGTTTGTGATACTGGTCGCCAAATGATACCTCAGTAACCACTAGTGTGGAGTTAACACAGCTACCATTGTATCTGAAGACAAAAAAAATATTTTGTTAAAGGGACATTATGGGAGATTAGGTAAAGAGCTGCCGGTTCTTGCTATAATAGTTAAAAACTAGATGATTTAAAGGGAATATGCTGAAATATTCAGCCAAATTGATCCAGTCTGAACCGAGATATTAGCGATTCAATTTTATGCTATCCACCAATGTCATTACTACCGTCGGTACGTTAATAAACAGTCTCGATTATCCATTTATACGTTAAATAAATCATACATCATAAACCGTATTCAAATCCACTAAATAACGAAAGCTAGCGATGACATCGAGAGTTGATTATGGTATGGATAAGTTAATTAATGTCTAATTGTATTAATAGTTTATATAACATGTCAGGCCTAAAGAAAGACCTGCAATAGGAAGATTTAGCTCTTGCATATTCAAGGAAGGTGGGGACAGAGCTGGGTGTGGGGTTGGGGTGGCTGGGCTGTAGCCAGGGGTACCAATACTAAAGGGGCCCTCAAATTAGTTCTAAAAACAAATTTCTTCCATAATTAAATATGTAATTTATCATGTTGTACCAAATAAATCTATTTATCTACCATACTGATATACAAGTGAAATAAAATGAAATGGGGTTTAACGTCCTACTGTTCTGCTCCTATACTGGGCTAGTGAAGACGGGCATACGCCATACTGTGTGCTATGAGGGACATTTGCAAGGGCAGTGGCACTATAGCCTACTCTTATATCGAATTCCAACTGCTAAGTGGTCTTTAATTTGCGTGCCAATGTATACAAGGGACCTCGGTTTTTCGTCCCATACGAACGACTAGACAGCTGTCCTTGTCAGGGCCTCCGTTCTGCTCCACTGACAAGGGGAAACCACGTCAGAAAAAAATCCTGATGAGTTTTCTCGGCCAATGCAGGGATCGAACATGCGACCTCCAGACTAACGAGCAAGCGTCTTACCCAATTAGCCACCGTAGATCCCCACTGATATACAAATTGCATTTGTGTGAGTATGACGGGAAATGACCAGAACATCCCCCCCCCCGACTTTTGACTGTTTATGCAAGGCGCCCATTGACATTTTAGGCGACATGAAGTTAGCTTGTTGTTCGTTGTTCGGTGTTCGGTATTCGCGAATAACGAACAACGAGCTGGATTTTGTTCGTTATTCTTGTTCGTTATTCGCGAATAACGAACAACGAGCTGGTTTGTTGTTCGTTATTCACCAGATATGGAATGAGTAATATAATAAAGGCACTTTTAGAGAGAATATGCCGAGAGTTGGTTTTTATTAGCCTAATTGGTTCATAAATCTTCAAAGTCTTGGGAATAAATATTCTAACAAACTGGCTCGTTGTTCGTTGTTCGCCAATATGAAACAGCTCGTTGTTCGGGTATAATGAGAGGTTGTTGGAATCTTTTACCCAAGACTTAGAATATTTATGAACCAATTAGGCTAATAAAAACCCACTCCCGGCATAGTCTCTCTAAAAGTGCCTTTATTATATTACTAATTCTATATCTGGCGAATAACGAACAACAAACCAGCTCGTTGTTCGTTATTCGCGAATACCGAACAACAAACTAGCTCTAAAAGTGCCTTTATTATATTACTAATTCTATATCCAGTGAATAACGAACAACAAACAACGAACAAGCTAGCTTCACGTCGCCGACATTTTAAGCCAGGAGCCCCATGCAAGCTTAATCCATCCCTGGGTGGAAAGGGCTGAAGGGTGTTATTGGAGGTGATACGGGTAAGGAAGAAGGTGATACAGGTAAAGGTGTACCTACCTGTTTAAGCCTACAAAGGTGAAGGTTATTAATAGTTTATATCGTATAGGAGCTGATATAAGTGTTGTATATCTATAATCATCTGTGTGGTGATACGGGTAGTTTAAACTGTATATTATTATACTATCATCAACTTCTAATTCTTGTCTATTCTTTAAAACACCACCACCGGAAGTACCAACTAAATAAAAACATTCAAAATAATATTGTTAAACTTTCCGAAAAGTGGTGTGCTGTTCGTATATCAGGGAACGACAAGCTTGTTCCGTCTTATCTCAGGGTGTATGCGCGCTGTATCATTAGGTCTGTCATTGAGTCAACTGCCGTGGTTTCGATTCCCCTCTCGTACGTGACAAGGAGTAGGGTCGCCTGTCCAATCTCGTGAGTTTTCTTCGGGTCGTCAGGTTTCCTCCAACTGCTTAAGACCCCTACGCGCAAACGAATTATTGAAATAAGATTGAACCATATGTTAGTCCCGAAATGACATAGTTTGTGTCGAGTAGACGTTACCCCCCCCCCCCCCGCTCTCTTGAATGGTTTAACGCTTGCGCTTTAGATAAGAAGGTCTGTCGTTGAGTCAAGAGGTGTGGTTTCGATCATGGGTGGCGCCCTAGATTTGGACCCCCCCCCCCCCGTCTAGTTGAGAGTTTCTAGATCCACCACTGCTTCCTGGTTAGGGAGTCAGCGCCTTATTCGTTGAGCCACCGCGGTTCGTATGTCGCAAACCAGTTACTTACCTGTCGTATAGGACCCTTTAAAGCCGTCTGTCTCCCTTAATTCCTTGGCTCTGTATAATATCTTTATAATATTACCACTGGATATAAATTCTTTGCCTTCGATTGTCATATTGCTAACACAAAGAACACTGCTACCAATATCCACTGCCACGCTGCAGGCTAAATTATCTGCTACGACTGGCGGAATCAGAGATGTGAAAGTTAATAGAACACGCGACCCAACCTCTCCAATGATAGTCGTCACACAGTCCACATCCGCCGCGAAAGGTAATCCCAGGTTGAAGCTAGAAAAAATTCCTGATTGATTAGTCAACCGTAAGTTCGAACACATCTCCATATTCACTGCTTTCCACTGAACTTTGACCCCCGCCCTTCCTATGGAACCATCACTGACAAACCTCAAGTTCAGTTCGTCATCGGACGATAGTATATGTCTGGGTTTAGTTAAATTCCCGCATAGTTTTATTACCTGGTGGCTGTCGTTTATCATGAAATAATCATACAGACAATCTATTTGATATTCAACGTCTAATTCAACAACAGTTAGTATGATACGACGGTTGTCTACTTTCACTTTCCAATAAAGGTCAAGGTTATTTTGATACACGCCGCCATCTTGTTCCGGAATTGTTATTGCACCTTGGTATGTGTTTATTGTTACTACTTGATGCTCGTCTGGTGAAACTAGATAATAGAAAAATAAACTTTGAACATAATAATATCGCCATTTATATCAGATTGTAGATAGGAGAGAGAAATGGGGTTTAACGTCCACTCGACACAAACTAGGTCATTTCGGGACTAACATATGGTTTAATTTTATTTCAATAATTTGCTTGCGCATAGGGTTTTTTAGCAGGGGGAGGAAATCGGAGAACCCGGGGACCCTACTCCTTTTCACGTTCAACCGGGGATTCGAAACCACGTCAGTTGACTCAATGACAGGCCTTATATGATACAGCGCGCACGTGCTTACCATTCGACCATCCAATCCCCAGTTAGTATTGAAGAACAATTTTCAAAGCACATTCAAACCATATGTAGTTAGACCTACCTGGGCACGGTTTCTGGCAAATAAAGGGAAGTAACTGATTCTGACTTCTAGTAACTATAGTTACATTGGTGGGTATTAAAGTTACGTTGTTTATCATCTTCGTCTGCCAGGTCATCGACAACATGGTGTTATCTAAAAGTTATAAAACAAAATACGATGCTAATAAAACATCCGAATTCTAAAAACAGGGCCCTTATTCACGAAAACTTAAACTAAGTTACAACCGAAATTTTAAGAAATACTGCAACTTCATTGGATATATGCAAATTGATTTTACTGGTCAGCCAATCGAATTGCAGTATTTCTTAAAATTTCGGTTGTAACTTACTTTAAGTTTTCGTAGATAAGGGCCCTGTAGTGTTACAATTTATCGTAGATTCTATGAAGTTTTGAATTGGCGAAATAGGATATTGTCGACCTGTTTCAACGATACCTAAACAGTTGTATGGACACAACGTAAATACCCAGTCTTGTAATCGTTGCTAATAGTTACCTGACGGGTTTACTTCAATCCATATATGGTAGGCACCGTCTCTTAAATCTAATAAAATAAAAATTAAAATATTAAACAATAACATTTAGATAAATACAGCTCGGGGTAAGTTTTATTTTGACTGATCGCGTCCCGAAATATAAACTCTGTAATAAAGATACTTTATATAGAATTAAGATAAAGAGCTGACCTTTCTCGCTCAATCTGATTAAAATACAGATTTATATTTCGTTTCGTTTTTTTATACTTTCGATGGCCTACACTACATGAAGATCTGACAAGTTATAGCGATAGGTCACATCATATGACCCTATGATGTCAGACATTTGATTAACCAATCAGCATTGATTTTACTAGTGGATTACCCACAGTTCCGTGCAAAACACGCCTAAAGCTCGCCGTAACAGACCGTTTCATTGCCTTATCCCTGACACCATTCAGAACACGAGTTAAATAACAACTCTTCCAGATCCAAGTGTAGTAAAGACAAGTAAAACGAAATCTTGAACTATAAAAACGAAACGAAATAGGATCTGTGTTTTAACCAGATTGTTTCTCGCTATAATAGTTTAAAAATAGATAATGAAAGATTGATATATTGAAAATTTCTGTCAAATTACTTCATTCTACACGAAGTTATGACTGGTTGAAGAATAGAGTGGTAACTATTTTGATTGCTACCATTGATTCATCCGATCGTCTTGATAGTTGATTATGGGCCTGGCATGTTAATAAATGTCTAATTATTAATTTAGATAATATTTCAGGCTAAAGAAAGACCTTCAATAGGCAGATTGAGATCTTGTATAATGTATGTTTTATCAATATATTTACCTGTATTTAAATAAACTGTAGCACCTATAAATCTTTCAGCTGTAGTCATTGGTCTCCACAATTCGCCATTTTCATCTTGACAGACACGCCTGGCATCTTCCAATAACATCTTGTTTTGATGAATTACCAATAAACCTCTATCGCTAGGTAATGAGTGCGATTCACACCTGTCCTCACCTGCCCAAAAATCAATACGTTTAATCTATATAATTACAGCTAATCACGTTCGTTAATATGTTAGGTTTATTATAAACTTCAATTTCATCATTCAAACTGTTTTTGTTTTTTACGTATCCTAAACAGTTTCTTCCGGGATGTCAAAAGAAAATTATTGACACAACTTCCGGTTATTATTCTTGAGTGGCATATTAGGCGTTTTTACGGGAAACCGATTAGGGCTAACCGATTTGCATTTCCTTTCCAAACACATTTACGGCAAAAATTAGCCTAATCGGTTTCACCTAATTGTCGTATTTACCACGACGATTTGCCAAATCGATTATGCAAATCTTCCAACTTGCTCGCCTGCCGGATTGACGATCTTTTGAATTTCACGTTAAAATATGAATATTATGGACATTCCTAATAAAAATACGTGGCATTTAGGGACAGTCAACTGGTACAACTTTTCGTTTTTATTTTTGGGCGGTGTCGCCAAGAACATAATAAAGAAAAGTGAATTTTTTTCACATTTTTCCTCAATTCTTCAGTTTTCAGCCATCTTGCGAGGCAACTCACTGCGTTTACGAGAACCGATTCGAATACCAACTCGCGACCTATGTCTTTGTACAAAACGAGATAGGTAATCAAAACCGATTTGTTTTCTCGTAAAAACGCCTTTATTGATTGAGTCTATTAAAAAAAAAACACAACACAATTTTATATGGAATACAATCACTGCTTCATATAGCACGACGTTTCGACAATTATTCTCTTATCGTTATCAAGTACAGATGATATTTGAAAACAAGTACTTGATAACGATAAGAGAATACATGTTGAAACGTCGTGCTATATGTGTATAAACCAGTGATTGTTTTCCATATAAAATTATGTTGTGTTTTTTTAACTTTCGGTTACATAAATGACCTTGGCTAACGAATCAATCAATACCGAATTTGAATAGCGTAATTCCCGGAGCAGACCGATTAACATTGGTTGGCGTCTGACAAAACAAATGTTTTATACCTTTTTTGAATTTCCCGCAAACGAAATATGTTATACGCAAAAAACGACCAACATTTGTTCAAAAGAAACCGATGACTGACGTTTAGATCTATTTTATAAGGCGAACTTCAAAGTTTGGTCAAAGGTCACGAGATGTAAACAGGGCTAGCGCTAATCCCAACCCTGGACCTAATGATTACCATAACCCTAACTTACAATCTCGACAACAATCACGTGTCCTAGCCTTATTTACATCTCATCGAACATGACAAAAATTGAGCTGGCCTTAACAAATAGATTTGGCCGATGATGGACCCAAACATCACGTGGTAAAAATTGGCGACGTCAGCCATTTCTGTACCACGTGAACGTTAACCAACAAATGTTCGTGTTGATGTCCAACGCAGGCCGGCTAACCTTTGTCGGAAAACATTGTTCAGCCAACAAATGTTAGCGGGTCTGCGGTGGACTTTAACAATGAAGACTCAGAGAAATCCCACGCGGTTTTACACCCTTTATGAACTTTGATCATAATATGTTAATCAAATGACGAATACGAGCGCCAGACCAAGACAATGTAAAGATTCGTTCGTACGCTGGCTCGCTAGCCGGGAGGTTGGGTGTTCGATCCCTGCATTGGCCGAGAAAGTTCATCCAGATTTTCCGGCGTGGTTTCCCCTTGTCAGTGATGCAGGATGGAGGGCCTGACAAGGACAGCTGTCTAGTCGTTCGGATGGGACGAAAAACCGAGGTCCCGTGTACACATTGGCGTGCACGTAAAAGATCCCTTGGCAGTTGGAATCCGATATAAGTGTAGGCCGTAGCGCCGCTGCCCGGGCAAAATTTGCCTCATAGCACACTGTATGGCGTATGCCCGTCTTCATTATCCCAGGTTAGGAGCAGAACAGTAGGACGTTCAACCCCATTTCATTTCATTTCATTTCGTTCCTAGAGTTTTACGTCCCCTTCCACCTAAGGTGATATCGTATACAATGTGTAAAGATTGTGTGTGAAATAGCTTTATTTAACGTCCGCTTCCACCGAGGTGATTATTTCAACCTACCTTTTATAGCAGAAACTTGAAGTTTAAAACCGCGAAATGTTCGCGAGTTATCCGTCGTAAACCTCATATAGACAACGTTACTGGATAACCTCTGGTTTAAAAGTTTAGACTTGTCTGTCCAGTCACCACACAGTTTCACTGTTGAATTGTCTTGTAGTTCGAATGGCGTCCTGCTGACAGACAAATAATCATATGTACACCTAAAAATGAAAATTGTTCAAATTAATGACGAAACGAAAAAATAAAAAAAGCAAATTGAAGAAAAAGGGGAGGTATTACATTTTTCTTGACGATGTAGATCCAGAAAGGTACACCATTACCATCATGCATCTAAAGTCTGGCTTGAATGATCAAGTAACAAATGCTTCACTCGGGCATTACTGAAAACTGCTCTTCATTAAAATGTCCGATATTTGTACGAAGAATCAGATTAAAAGCAATAAAACAACCCAAATGAAAACCGTAGAACAACTTTCGTGGTTTTAAACGAGCTTCGTTAAGGTATGGCCATGCACTAGAGACCAGAAGAGAGTAAAATAAAGCCATCAACCACTGGTCTCCGTATAGTGCTAGCATCACAAAGTAATATAACGTCATCAATGACTAGTCCCCGTATTGTGCCAGCACCACTGAGTAAAATAACGTCATCAACCAATAGTCCCCCTATAGTGCTAGCACCACAGAGTAAAATAACGTCATCAATGACTAGTCCCCGTATATTGCTAACACCACTGAGTAAAATAACGCCAGCAACCACTAGTACCCGTATAGTGCTAGCGCCACTAAGTAAAATAACGCCATCAACCACTAGTCCCCGTATAGTGCTAACACCATTGAGTAAAATAACGATTTCAATGACTAGTCCCCGTAGAGTGCTAGAACCACGGAGTAAAATAACGTCATCAACCACAAGTCCCCTATAGTGCTAGCACCACTGAGTAAAATAACGTCACCAATGGCTAGTCCCCCTATAGTGCTAGGACCACAGAGTTAAATAACGTCATCAACCACTAATCCCCGTAGAGTGCTAGCACCACTGAGTAAAATAACGTCACCAATGACTAGTCCCCGCACGGTGCTAACACCACTGAGTAAAATAACGTCATCAATGACTAGTCCCCGTATATTGCTAACACCACTGAGTAAAATAACGCCAGCAACCACTAGTCCCCGTATAGTGCTAGCGCCACTAAGTAAAATAACGCCATCAACCACTAGTCCCCGTATAGTGCTAACACCACTAAGTAAAATAACGTCATCAACCACTAGTCCTCGTATAGTGCTAGAACCACTAAGTAAAATAACGTCATCAACCACTAGTCCCCGTATAGTGCTAGAACAACTAAGTAAAATAACGCCAGCAACGTCTAGTATTAGGCCAACTGAGTAAAATTATTTTAAAAATCACAAAAGATATTTAATTTGTTAGCTACGTTAACTCCTCAAATGAGAATTGATATCAAATGTTTTGAAAAGAGTAAGCATATCCTGCCTTGTACCTCATTACGTAGAGATGAAATGGGCCTTGATTTCAGAGAGAGGGTTTAACGTCCGCTCCACGTATTGGCTTATTTTGGGACTAACATATTAATGTTATATTCTTTTTTCAATAATACGCATGCGTCTTTAGTAGTTGGAGAAGAGTATAAACGAGTTTTGGCATGCAATCCCAATTCTTGGCCCGTCACGTACAGGTGTCGGAACGATGCCATGACACTTGACTCAATTACAGACGTGGGGTGGGGTCTAGTGGTTTAAAGCTTAAAGCATTCGCGTGAAAGTATAAGGCCAGTCATTAAGTCAAGTGTCTCTTCTTGGCACGTCACATACATGTGTCGGAATGATACCACAACATCTGACTCAATTACAGACGTTACAACACTGAGACACGAACTAGGTCATTTCGCGACTAACACGTGGTTCAATTTTATTTCAATAATTCGCTTGCGCGTAGGGTTCTGTTTAGCAGCGAGAGGAAACCGGGGGACACGGAGAAAACCCATGAGGTTGGACGAGCGACCCTCCTCCTTGTCAATCAATGGCAGACCGTATGGTACAGCGCGCACGTGCTAACCTTTCGGCCATCCAAGCCCACATACAACACTGAGAGTCACCACCCCCTCCACTAAACACGACAGTAAGTACCTTCCCTACAGGGAGTCACCACATCCCCTCTACTTAACACGACAGTAAGTACCTACCCTACAGGCAGTCACCACATCCCCTCCACTAGACAGGACAGTAAGTACCCACCACACCCCCTACACTAAACACGACAGTAAGTACCCACCACACCCCCTCTACTAAACACGACAGTAAGTACCCACCACACCCCCTACACTAAACACGACAGTAAGTACCCACCACACCCCCTACACTAAACACGACAGTAAGTACCCACCACACCCCCTACACTAAACACGACAGTAAGTACCCACCACCCCCCCTACACTAAACACGACAGTAAGTACCTACCACATCCCCTGCACTAAACACGACAGTAAGTACCCACCACACCCCCTACACTAAACACGACAGTAAGTACCCACCACACCCCCTACACTAAACACGACAGTAAGTACCCACCACACCCCCTGCACTAAACACGACAGTAAGTACCCACCACACCCCCTACACTAAACACGACAGTAAGTACCTACCACATCCCCTGCACTAAACACGACAGTAAGTACCCACCACACCCCCTACACTAAACACGACAGTAAGTACCCACCACACCCCCTACACTAAACACGACAGTAAGTACCTACCACATCCCCTCTACTAAACACGACAGCAAGTACCCACCACACCCCCTGCACTAAACACGACAGTAAGTACCTACCCTACAGACGGTTCCACATAGAAATCTTTAAACTTAACATCCAAGTAAAGGCTAGGTGACGCTGTTACAACCACGTGACAGTCCAAGAAATTTGAATAATTATTGGAGTAGTTTGGACTGTGTATTTCTACGCTGCTTGTTATACTGTCTAGATGAATATTCTGATCGCAGTCTTTAGGCACGTCTAAAATTGGAAGAAATCCTGAAACAGATAAGACGAGAAAACATACAGTCGTTCGGATGGGACGAAAAACGGATGTCCCATGTACACATAGGCGAGCATGTAAAAGAAACATTGCCAGTTGGAATTCGATATATGAGTAGACCGTAGCGCCGCTGTCCTGGTACACTTGCCCTTGCAGCACACTGTATGGCGTAAACCCGTCTTCATTAGCTCAGTCGGAACAGAACAGTAGGATGTTAAACCCCATTTCATTTCTGAAACAGCAATAAAGATCTGCGCTTTACGTCAACTCAAAACAACTATTGCGGCAAGAGAGGTAAAATTTCCTAATCGTGGTTACATTTTCACCCTATGCTAGATTGACCTCTCATTTTACGACTGGCTTTTTCCACAAGCATCCTAGAAGATATCGGTCTGCGAATATCACCCAAGGAGGTAGCGGAATTAAAGCTTGGATATGGAATAGACTACCACAATCAATGAAACAATCACCATCTGTGGGCCATTTTAAATCTCAACTCAAAACATTCTTATTTCAAAACCCTGATCTGTAAATAATCAGTGAATATAAAAACCAACAGCACCTTAGAAACTGTTTTCTAACGCGCTTTATAAATGGCCATATTATTATTATTATTATTAAAACGAGAAGTTCAGTTCCCTTTCCTCGATTTGGTACTTACCCGTTGTGTAACACTGACAAATATATAAATTATTTACGGAACAATCTCGATCATTCCACATATACCGATCAACAAGTTCCGATTCCTTGCCGGAATGGCGAAAGGATCGCCGTAGTTCTACGCAATCTTCATTGGACAGGCCGTCATCACTCGGCTGACTCTTACTACCATCACCATCGGGCCAACCTTTAAACCAATCTAAATTTGAAAAAAAAATTATCAAAATATTAATCTAACACCTGGTTTAATTTTATTTCAATAATTCGCTTGCGCGTTGGGATCTTTAGCAGTGGGAGGAAACCGGAGGACCCGGAGAAAACCAACGAGGTTGGACAGGCGACTGGGGTAAGCTCGGGGCCTATACAGAAGTTAATATGCCCTCGCGTAGCTTGGGCCTACCCTTTGTTAGTCTTCTAAACGAGAAAATTGGATACCTATTTCTTTCTTGATCTATTATCTGTTTCATAGTTTTGCCGTCTCTGGAGATTTGGTATTCAGGATATACTCTAGAAAGCAGCATTTACAGTAGAGACTACGGCATTCAAGTGGTGTGGGACTAGGTAGATAGCTCCATATTTGTTTACGTGTCTAAAATACAGATTTATATTTCGTTTCGTTTTTGTTTTTTTCGATGGCCTCCACTACATGAAGATCTGACCGGTTGTAGTGAGGGGTCGTGTCAGTGGTCATACGATCGGATAATGACCCTGTGACGTCAGACATTTGATTAGCCAATCAGCATTGGACGTTTCTAGTGGGACACCCACAATTCCGTGAGCCGCATACTAGGAACTCGCCGCAATAGACCATTTCATTGGCTAATCCCTGATATCAACAACAGTGCGGGTTATATAACAACTTTTCCAGATCCTAGTGCAGTAAAGACAAGTAAAACGAAATTTTGAAATATAAAAAACGAAACGAAATAGGATCTGTGTTTTAATCCGATTGACGTTTAGATGAACTGGAATGACTTACCAGCATAGGTGACCTTTGACCCTCTCGTCCAGTAGAAATCTGATTCGTATTGGATATCATTGGCACCAATCCAAAATGATGACGTTTGGTCGGAACAATTACTAAAAAGAAAACACAGCGATGGAAATCCCGGCTGAATTTAAGAAAACCACCGAACCTTTATTAAATGGGGTTTAACGTCCTACTTTTCGAGCCTAATAAAGATGGACACACGTCATGTGCGCGTTAAATCATAAGGTCTGTCATTGAGTCAAGTGGCGTGGTTTCGATTCCCCGCTTGTGGGTTTTCTCCGGCTCCTCCGGTTTCCTCCCACTGCCAAAGAACCCTACGTACATATGCGAATTATTAAAATACAATTGAACCATATGTTAGTCCCAAAATGACCTAGTTTGTGTCGAGGGGAGTTATTCCCCATTTCTCTCTCTAGTCAATGCGTGCGCAGGACACCTGAACCAGGCTGAACAATCCGGAGGCTGGAACACGTGATCCCCTGGCTAGTGGTCCAGTGTCTTACTAATAGGACGGGAGCCACGGTGGCTCACGGAGTAGGATGTTGGATCGCTATCCTGAGGTAGCGGGTTCGATCCCGGTGTTGGTCGAGAAAGTTCATCGGGTTTTTCTGACGCGGTTTCCCCTTGTCAGTTGGAATTCGATATAAGAGTAGGCTGTACAGCCACTGCCCGGGCAAAATTTCCCTCATAGCACTCTGTATGGCCTATGCCCATCTTCCTTAGCCCAGTCTGGGCAGAACAGTAGGACGTTAAACCCCATTTTAATACCTTGGTCTTGCTTGTGATATATAAAATGTAAAATGACAATACTCACCTTTTTAGGAGTTGTGTGTTTATAACTTCTTGTTGTTTCACGTTTAATACAGACATTAAATGTCCACCACGTGATCGACAGTCGCGCTCACTTTCCCACCAAGAACGTGCCTGGTATACAATCTCAAAACACGTGTTATCTTTATTTAGCACATTAATCGCGCACGTGCTATTATTCTCCAAACTAATCGTCTGCCATTCTAAACTAAATCCTTTTCTAGTATTGACATCGTCGCTCACGAAACGTAACGTCACTGTCGGTTTATAAGATCTGAAAGTTAGGAAATCTTCCTGGCCACTCCAGTCCCCACAGATCCTTTGTGTTTGATCGTTAATCGTCAGTTCCAAGTAATCCTTATTGCATTCGGACCCTATTTGTCGTTTTTCGTCATTGTCAGATTCCGTGTGGAACTTTGAAAATTTCAACACTATTCCACCCGAGGCGTCGTCGACGTTAATATTGTAATAACAGTCCTCACTATTAGCATAGTTTTGTGAATATTTCGTGCTGGCTAAAACGCCATGGTTTAAATTAAACGTTTGATTTTCACACACTTCCTGTCCGCGGTACCACAAGCTAAATCCGCTATTCAGAACTAAAGACTCTGAAATGAATGTAACAGATATTTCCGAAGACGTTGACTGGAATTGGAATTCTTTCTGCTCGTAAAACCGTTCTCCAGCGCACCATTTTCGTGACGTATTAGTCACGTGATCGGTGATTATTAAGGCATCCTGACAGTTATTGAGTTCGAGGCTAAGGTTTGTAATTGTCACATAAACCCTGAAGTTCACGGGAAGTATGATATGAGTTACACAATGGCGGTGATTGACCGGTGGATAATCTGACGGATAGGTCGGACTAGTAACGGTTCCGTTCATATCAAATAGAGTAGCGTTACATCCTGAAACAAACAAGTACAATTATATTATTGGTGGGAGATGGTTAGCTATGAGAGAGAGAGAGAGAGAGAGAGAGAGAGAGAGGGAGAGGGGGGGTAACGTCCAGTCGATACAAAAAAGGTCATTTAGGTACTAACATATGGATCGATAGCAGTGGGAGTAAACAGGAGGACCCGGAGGAAACCACGAGGTTGGACAGGCGACCCTACTCCTTGTCAAGTACAACCGGGGAATCGAAACCACACCAGTTGACTCAATGAAAGACCTTAGGACACAGCGCGCACATGCCATCCAACACCCCCCCCCCCCCCCCCTGTTTTTAAAAATCAATTTGCAGAATTGGCTGTTTTAGAGTAAAACTGGGGAGTACCTACTACAAGATCGCCAGAGTCCAAGACAGTCTTTGCCATATTTGACGTAGATTTTATATTTCTATGAATATAGGGGGGTTGGATGGCTGAATGGTTAGCGTGCGCGCGCTGTATCATAAAGGCTGTCATTGAGTCGACTGGCGTGGTTTCGAATCCCCGGTTGTACGTGACAAGGAGTAGGGTCGCCTGTCCAACCTCGTGGGTTTTCTCCGGGTCCTCCGGTTTCCTCCCACTGCTAAAGACCCCTATGCGCAAGCGAATTATTGAAATAAAATTAAACCATATGTTAGTCCCGAAATGATCTAGTTTGTGTTGAGTGGACATTAAACCCCATTTCCCTCTCTTTCTCTCTCTCTCTCTATGAATATATAAATGGTTGTGTGCGACGCAATACAGATATGAATGAATTGGTAAATGGCAGTGTTCGACTAGAAATATGATGGCGAATTGGTAAATGGTCTTTTGCGATGGGCTACAAACATGCCTGGGAAAACGTAAATGGCCATGTTCGATGGCTACAAATATGACAGCAAATACGTAAATGGCCGTGTTCGACGAACACAAATATGACGGCGAATTCGTAAATGAGCTTTTGAGACGGGCTACAAACATTACTGTGAAAACATAAATGGCCATGTTCCATGGCTACAAATATGACAGCGAACTAGTAAATGGCCGTGTTCGACGGACTACAAATATGGCTGCTGTGAATTCGTAAATGGTCGTTTGCGATGGTCTACAAATATGGCTGCTGCGAATTCATAAATGGTCGTTTGCGACGGACTACAAATATGGCTGCTGCGAATTCGTAAATGGTCGTTTGCAACGGACTACAAATATGGCTGCTGCGAATTCGTAAATGGTCGTGTGCGAAGGACTACAAACATGACTATGAAAACATAATTCAACCGACTACAAACATGACTGGAAAAACGTTAAAGGCCGCTTTCGAACTTAAACCCATTTTAGCTTAAAGTTCAATAATCTACGGAAACTACGGTCTCGCATAACGTATGCAAACCCAGGAAACACCCCACTTAAAGGCCATAGAACTGATTCCTCGGGCATTTACTCACTAAAAAGATTGTTCATGTAATAAAATAGTTGAAATGCTGATCCACTGCTGTTGGTCCCATTCGATACAAAATTCACTGTGGCCTTGTTGGTTTGTGTCGTATAACTGTACCGTGTGGTATTATTTACACCACATAATCTTCCCGATGTTTGATTTTCATAAACAACTTCCACAAAATTCAAACATTCACCATTTAACGATTCCTCCATCTTTAATATATTTATCTAAAATGAAAAAAAAACAAAAAACGATAAACCAGATCAGTGGTTGATAACAGGCAGGAACGGGCTGGAGTTTTGGGGAGAGGTACCTAGTGTAGATCCAATCAAAGGCACGAGGATTCAAATATTAGAGTCAATGGGAAAATTAATCTGGTATTGTGGCCAATTCCGTGTCACTCGGTTGCTAATCCGTCAATTCGGAACGTTCCGGCCAAAGCCCAGCTTAGCCGGGGCGAGGCCCTGGGCCTGACTAGAACCGCGTGGCCCCTAACGCGACGAATAGATTATTTCATACCCTTTTGAATGGCACACATGCGTAACACACAATTAAACGGTTTGTAATACAAGAATAATTACATGATATCTGATCACATACGAAATCTATTCAGTTCCAAATGGCATACAATGCGCGGAAATGACATAACGATGGGTAACATGTGAAATCACCGATCACAGAGAAGGTTGAGGGATAGCGGCTAGATCGATGAACGTGAAACTTTCATCTGGAATTTAAATTTTTTCTCATTTTTTTCTATGAACCGCGGGGCCCCCTAAACCGCGGGGCCCTGGGCCTGTGCCCCCCAGGTCCATGCCTAAGTTGGGCTTTGGTTCCGGCGACAATTGAGCATCCACGAGGAGAGTAATAAAATTAACCACATGTTATCAAATTATTTCACTCCATGTCGGATGATTGATGATTTGTTGGTAGGTAAGTGAAGGTTATCTTGAAGGGAAACAAAGTTTCCTACTACTTCTGGATTGACTCTTCCTTCCGAATAATGACTGAGTATAAATTCCTTCCGAATAATGACTTGAGTATAAATTCCTTCCGAATGACGATTGATTATAAATTCCGTCGAATGATGGCCGAGGATAAATTCCTTCCGACCGAATAATGACTTGAGTATAAATTTCTTCCGAATAATGACTTGAGTATAAATTTCTTCCGAATAATGACTTGAGTATAAATTCATTCCGAATAATGACTTGAGTATAAATTCCTTCCGAATAATGACTTGAGTATAAATTCCTTCCGAATAATGACTTGAGTATAAATTCCTTCCGAATGACGATTGATTATAAATTCCGTCGAATGATGGCCGAGGATAAATTCCTTCCGAATAATGACCGAGTATAAAGAAGGCTAAAGCTAGGCCCAGATTATGTTTTATATAAACATTAGTTTATTTAATTCTAGGATTGGGAAACAGGGTAGATAATGCAGCACTATGCAGTTCGGCAACCAAGTCAAATATGTGGTGATGTGCAGTGCTATGAGTCGCTGGTTAGATGTGCAAAAACTCCCCACATGCAACGTGTGACGCAAACCCTCTGTTACATATTTTGATAGCCTTAGCTTGTGATCGTCTAGTAATGTCTCTGGTTATATTTCTAATTCTGTACTTATGGCTAAGACTTTTTTTTAAATGTCACCCTTAATTTGTTCTCCGCTTATTCAGCCAGTTTATGGTTACACACAGAAATAACATTACAACATGATGATGAGTTAGTTGTATTTTACGTCCGCTTCCACCGAGGTGATATCGCAGACATTACAACAGTTCGTTTCTACATTTTATATCAAGCACTGGATACATAGGTTACAAGCACAGATTTTAAAAAATCATTCGCTCAATCCCATCTAAACTCTCCAGTGCGAGTCTGCTAATAGAAATGGCTACATCTTCCTATCTAAGAATATGCCTGGTGTCTGACTATCGCCCAGGGCCCTGTTTCACGAAATTTTAACTAAAGATAAATCCAAATTTTACTAGATACTTCAATTTTAATTGGCTAAGCACTAAAATCAATCTTGTATTATCTAATCAAATTACTAAAATTTGGATTTTATCTTAGTTAAAATTTCGTGAAACAGGCCCCAGAGCTCTGGTGGTTTTCTAGCTTTGGATTTCGGCTATCTATTATTCAATTGACCAAATATGATGTAATTAATTATAATGATTGGCTCTCATGCTTAATGACGTGAGTACTATCCTAAAAAGGACAGTAGAAATATTATATTCCCCCCCCCCATGAGTGATCTCGACAATCGGAAAACAACAAATAGTCAAGGCCATAAATATTATAACACATACGTATGTGTTGTTTGGCACAAATCTCGAAATCACTTTTATTTTGTAAAGTATCAATTACTTTTAATTTCTAATTGAAAATGTTAATATCCCTTTAAATAAAGACGAATAGTTATATGATCATATCCCTTTAATTGAAGTAGAATAGTTATATGATCATATCGACTGTCAGACAGCTGCTAATTATCCGACACGTTAATGGCAAATTGAGGTATGCAATACGCTTATATAGAATATCACATCTAATCTGATCTGTAATCAAAGTTTATTATCCGTCCCAGACAAACTGTAATATCACTCAGTTCACCCTTATATATCAAACCGATTACATATCTCATGAACTCGGTGCCATGGAAACAGGGGGATTGGATAATGGATGAAATAGCAATTATGTGCGCATTATTCTTTATGTAACAACCAATTTCGACCCGTTTCTTTCCCGGAGGGATAGAACAGGTGTTAACTTCAGCTAATCGGATCAGTCTGTCAAGGGTCAAAATAGAAACGTTAATGGCCTTAAAAAATCAGACAGTGTTTAATGGGTGTTAATTGGTGCTAATAGGTAAGGAACACGGAGGTTAAATAGGAGTTAAATAGGGAGTTAGATAGGGGGTTAAATAGGAGTTACAAAGGGGGTTAAATAAGAGGTTAAATAGGGGTTAAATAGGATGTTGAATAGGTTTAATATGGGGTTAAATAGGATTCTAAATAGGGGGTTAAATCGGAGATTAAATAGGGAATTAAAAAGGAGGTTAAATATGAGTTATATAGGAGGTTATGTACAGTGGCTATGTAACCAAAAACTAAGCTACCAAAACAAATTCAACTGAATCAATAATATCGGTCAATGGAGCATAGCAAAGACGGTACCTGGTTGTCATTCAGTGAAATATACATTTGAGAATAAATAGGTCATTGGCTAGATTATCCGGTCTTTCACATTATCATGTAACAAAATCTACTTTTTACGCACGTGAAA